ATTGATCATTTCTGATTCTGTGAGCCCAGTAGTACCCATTGAAATACTGCTGACACCAAATATATATATATATATATATATGGGCTTCCAGGCTCCAGCAAGGAATTTTAGCAATTGATTGCATCACCTATAGGGAAGAATTGAACAGAGCTTTTTCCTATGTGGGGCTTTTACTCCTTTTGCTTCTAAAAATTTTGTGTTTTCCCTTTATCTGACTTCAGATACTTCTCTCTTCAATTATTTTTCTGAACTTAGAGAAGTGTAATCTCTCACTTTCACAAGATAATAAGATTATGTTATAGAATTTGGACCATCAAATCATGTTTGATTTTTTCACATAAATGTGTATATGATTTAGATTCACAGTATGTCTATATAATATTTGAAAATAGGGTTTAGAATTTAAGTTAACCGGGTCTAGTCCAGTAAAAAAGAGCTTTAACTTGCAGATGAGTGATCTCAGATAACCCCCTCCCTTTTACTAGTGTGATAGGCAAGTCATTTTTAAAGTTAAGATAATTATGTTATTAGACTTTGATTCGAACCATTGATCATGTTGATTTTTACCTCATTATATAAGCACTGTTTGACAATGTACATAAACCCGATAAGAAAACACTACCAACTAAACTTCAAACCTTAAAATGTTTAACTCAAACTTCAAAACTAGGATCGATGCTATTTCATTTTGTTAATTACTTGTTTAGTAACTCTTTTCGCATTATTATATTACAAATTATAGTATTGGCATAGTGAATAATAATGAAATGAAAAGGAAGGCATGCAGCCCCATCCACATGGGGCATGATGATGCTGAAGACCCATCGAATCCAACAAAGAGAGACAAACAAGGAAACACACAAGTGTCAGCGTTAAGCGAAGATCAGGGTTAAGCTAGCTAGCTAGCTACCATGTCCACCAGCAGCAGCATCAGAAGCAGAAGCAGAAGCACGAGCTGCTTGTAAAAGCAATATATTCCACATTTAAGGCTTTGCGTGTTCACTTGTTTGTTGTAACTTTGTAAGGAAGGAAGGATAGAAAAGGAAAAGGAAAAGAATAAGAAGGAACACAAACGAACTGCTCCAATGTTTTGCCCTAAAATTCCACCTCTCCTATTTACTGCTTCATACATTGCAGATGCTTCTCGCCTTTTCTTTTTTCTTAATTTTTTTTTTTGGGTGTGTTTTCTTTGCTGAATATTTATATGTATATATTATTAATATTCTAGGTCTTTCATTTCATACTTGCATGTGTGCACAACCGGCCTGCAGAACCGGTACACATTTATTATTTACTTGCACTGTTGATTTCACATCTCACTGAAATAAATTTTTTATTTACTTTGCAGGATATCAACAGTGTCTTCCTTGTACTTGTCTACATTGGAACTTCTTAAATCATATCATAATTAATCAAAGAATGATTTTCAGAAAACATGTTTCCTTTAATTAACGGCAGTTTTATTGAGTTTCTAGAGTTCTAAGATGTTCAGAAAACGCGCAAATATATTTCATATGGTTCTTTCTCAAATAATCTTATCTACGGAAAGATAACATAATCAAATAATGATCATAAGATACGTGATAACTCCTAATTTTTCATATAAATACCCAGATGACCTAATTATATATATAGGGCACAGAGTAGATTCTTTTATATATACATCTTTCTATTTTTCTGGCCATAGCAATAATATAGAAGATATTAGTAAAAAGGAGGGTAAGATAAATTTGAAGCTATTTCGTACATAACATACTGACATTTCTTGTGGTGGGTTGTGGGGCGTGGGGCTCAACTAGGTACCTTAGGAGTTTTGTTATAAAAAAAAAAGAAAAAAGAAAGAAAAAAGAAAAGGTATGATATGAATGAGGTGGTATTTTCTATTTTGACAGGACGGTGAAGAAGCCTCTTGCAGGGTGTTTTTCTGTCAACAACTTAACACTTTGGGAAATATGCATAGATCTAATATCGAAAACACACTTGATTGCAACCAATAAAATAAGAGCAACACAAGGAGATAAGACTTTTTTTTTTTTTTTTTTTTTGAGAGAAGAGAAGAGAAGAGAAGAGAAGGCTTGGCTTGTTGTGTGTCCCTTGAATCTTCATTGCCTAAACAGAATAGCCATCTTCTATATCTCTGCCGTTATATATATATTTTTTCCTTTTTCTCAAGATGCCAATCCGTGCTATATATTGATCATATATCCAGGGCTCCACCCCAGGTGAAATGAACAAAATGGAATCAATTTAAGGGGAGTGAGGGCACTCTATCTGAGGTAATTAACGTTACTTCTTTCGGTACGATTGAGAGGGTGAGCAAGGGTAGTTAACCCACATAGGGTAGTTAAATTTTTTAGCCTAATTATATTCTTCCGCTACTTACTGCATCTGTAATTGTGGGTTAAAGGATAGCCTTTGCCAATTAAAGAGCTTTCTTTTTTATTTTTTATTTGGTGAATGATTGCCAATCGCTTGTACCCTTACCTTCACATAAAAAAATAAAAAAAAATTACAAACAAACAAGGCTGTTAAGCGATTAGGAGGAGAGGATTCGCTCAAAGCAAATGGCAGTAGACTTGAAGGGCCATATAGATATAGGTTTATTTATTTATTTTGTTCAAAGTTTACCTAGGCTACAACCCACCATAGCCCTGGTTGTAGTTCTGCTAGTGAGGGTAAGGCTACTCAGTTAGTCTGACGACCGAGCCTGTATGTGTAGAGACACTCACATAATTCCTTAGAAGATTGTCCGGTTTTTGTATGTGGTTCTCCTCTTCTCTAATAAAACTCTATTGTTCTCTTTTTTTTAAAATTAAAAATTAAAAAAACACTATTTTTCCGTTCCTTTTTTTCTTTTTGCAAAGGGTTTTTTATGTTTTCGAATTGGCAATCATACATGACATAAATATAAACAATATTGAAATCTTCTAGCTGGGTAGCCAAGTGTGCTGTTGCAGACATTCCATTAAACTACTGGAGCTGCATGCACGTAATAACTAGTAAATATTATTATAGCTAGGCGATTGGTATATCAAAATGGGACATCAAATACTTTTTTTATATTTTTTACTTTATAACTAATAATATTATGCATGTATGACAAACCTAGCTACAAGAAGCTGGGGAATATTATGTTCACCTCATCAAGATTCAAAGACCTGGATGCATGAAAGCCATGCTCCTATATTGACAAGTCCTATTTCAGACCTAATACTATATATTTATGTACCAAGAAGTCCTAGAAAGATTCTTTCTCTGCACAGAAACTGACCAGAAATTTAATTTAATTACACCTCCAGTTTCACAAACCCGAAAAATTATAGAATACTATAGTAATACGATCACAAACCTAAAAAAGGTTGTAATTAATTAATTAACGGCCATTTCTAACAAGAATATCATGAGGAATCCCCAAAGCAAGAACACGACTTTCTTTTCTAGAAATTGTTCATATTATAAAAAGAAAATCAACAAATTTTGTTCACTCCAGCTTTCATAAATGCACGTTCGATTCGAAACACAAACTCCTGCATGTGCGAATTTGAAAGATTCAAGGTCATCATGGCGAAGGTGAACGTAGGTCATAGAATTTGAGATTAGAAATTACATATTCAAGTACAAAAGTAAATAACAATATGGTAACTCTGTGTGGTTAGTCTGTTACTGTTAGGTAACTTTCAATGTGTACAAGTTTAGGCGTGTGTGGCCAATTCATCCCATAAACAGTTTAGCTATAGCTAGCCAGTACTTTAGACCATGATTTGTTTACTAAATAATCCAAGGGACTAAGTTGACTTCCCAGGTCAACCATTGATTCTCATTGACCAAAATCTATCGAGGCAAATGATTCGATCAAACTTTGAAACAACAGGAGCCTCGAATATAATTCAATCTGAAAAGACCAACATTTTTTTTTCATCTCAAATTGAATGGTCCGTTATATACATATCCTAATTTAACTTGATTATACTGTATAGATATATAAAGATGTTCCCTTATCAGACGCAATAACATATTATATTGCGTTATTAAACCTCTTAAATTATCGATTCAATTGAATATTATCTTATTAACATTGCCATATATATACGTATATGTATTTCATTTAGGAGATATTGTGGATGCCACCATTGTTGGATGGAGTACTCAATGTGATCAACAATGTTAATGTGATTAATAACGTTGAAAGAGACATCTTATACGTCGTCGTTGTGCAGAAAAAAACAGATTAATTACATTAAAAAAAAATATATAGCACTATTATATATATTGTTAATCTATAAGTGGGCTGCAAAATATGGGATCGATATGGATATCTGAAAAACAAAGAACACTGGTTTGCTCGCAATATGCAAGAACCAAAATGTAATTAGAAAAAAAATATATATTAAAAAAAAAATAAAAAATCGTGAGATGAGAGGGTAATGTTTGTGCAGAGGCACTGTTACTGACTGCTGCAAGCATTTCAGTTGCTGCCTGTTTCTGGTAGATAATGCTTCCTCATGGAAAGCTGCTCCACAGCATTAGAGATCATCATATATATAATATATATATGTATATCTATCTTATTAATTATACTTTAAATGCCAAAAAAAAAAAAAAAAAAAAAACCCCTCTCATAGAGAGTAGATCTGAATCTGCTCATGATATATATATCTTCCTTCCTCATTTTCATTTTCAACAAATTAAAGAACTGATCAGATATCGTACAATTGATATATATATACCCTCCCTCCCTCCCTCTCTCTCTCTCTCTTCCAAACCCTTGTTCTGCAATTAATTTGTTATATATCCCATTTATATACAATAATATGTGTGTAGGAGAGAGACCAGTTCCCCCAAATATACCTGGTATCACAGTTGCTGCTACTACTTATTGCCACTGCTGCATCTATATATGACTGCGCCTTTACATTCTATACACTCAGCAGCTAGCAGATGCCAAGTTCTTGAAGAAAGCAGCTTGCTAGAGCTAAGCCAGCTGAAAGATCAAGAAGTAAATGCTCATGGGCTCATTCAATTCTTCCCATCTGCAACAACAAGAAGAACAAGTGCCTCTTGAAGATCAACAAGAAGATCATCCACATCATAATTACCAATTACCCAACATCAGCAATATCTCAGATCTGCAACTATACCACCACAACCACCACCATCTCCATGCTCACCAGATTTCTCACCAGCCATTTGTAATGCCAAGGGGCTTGATGACCACCTCACCAACCCACATGCGCCAATTGCTCATTACCTGCGCCGAGCTCATTTCCCAGCTTGACTTCTCCTCCGCTCGCCGCCTCATTTCCCTCTTGTCTTCCAAATCCTCCCCCTTCGGAGACTCCACCGAGAGATTGACCCACCAGTTTGTAAAAGCCCTCTCCCTCCGCCTCAATAATCCTAACCCTAGCTCTAGTGCGGCACTCACAACTGCCGCCACTGCGGCTGCATCCTCCTCCTCCAACTACTTATTGTTGGAAGAGGAGGACGACAACAACGAGGAGGCACTCCACTCGTGCTACCTAACCCTAAACCAGATAACCCCATTCATAAGATTCAGCCACTTGACAGCCAACCAAGCCATCCTCGAAGCCATAGACTCATCCCATCATTCCATCCACATCCTCGACTTTGACATCATGCACGGCGTCCAGTGGCCCCCACTGATGCAAGCTCTCGCCGAACGCTCCTACAACAGCGACAGAACCGTCCAACATCCGCCTCCCATGCTTCGAATCACCGCCACGGGCCACAGCCTGGCCCTCCTCCTTAAAACCGGTGACCGCCTCTTAAAATTCGCCAACTCCCTCGGCCTCGCCTTCCATTTCCACCCACTTGTCCTAAACGACGCCGTCCGACCGTCAGACATAATCAGCCCTTCAACCCTCGGCCTCCTCCCGAACGAAGCCCTCGCCATCAACTGCGTGCTCTACCTCCACACCCTCGTCACGGACGACTCAGGTGAGCTCTCTCTCTTCCTCCGGAAGATCAAGTCATTAAACCCAAAGGTGTTGACGATCGCCAACAAAGAGGCCAACCACAACCACCCTCTCTTCTTCAACCGGTTCGTGGAAGCTCTGGAGCACTACGGCGCCATTTTCGACTCGTTGGAAGCGACGTTGCCGCCGAACAGCAGGGAGAGGCAGGCAGTGGAGGATGTGTGGATGGGGAGGGAGATTAGGGACGTGGTGGGGGCGGAGGAGGGGAGGAGAAGGCAACGGCACGAAAAGTACGAGACGTATTGGGAGGTGATGTTGAGGAGGGCAGGGTTTGAGAACGTGGCTTTGAGCCCTTTTGCTCTTTCGCAAGCGAAGCTGCTTCTGAGGCTTCATTATCCTTCCGAGGGTTACCAGCTGAGGATAATCAATGACTCTTTTTTCTTAGGTTGGCAGAATCGTCCCCTTTTTTCTGTTTCTTCTTGGCACTAATTATGATTAATAAATTAATTGATCAATTAATTTGCAAGCTATATATATATCTAGCTAGCTAGCTAAAGCTATCCTCTCTTTCTTGTTTCATCTTCTTATATATATATATATATATAGGCATATATGAAAAAAAGGATGCATTTAAGAAGCAAGATATGAGTTGCCATTATAGTGGGTGTCCAGATAAGAAACCCACTGAAATTCCAATCAAAGAGAAGACTCTCTCTCTCTCTCTCTCTCTCTCTCTCTCTCTCTCCTAACTAAGCTGATGAATGATCAGTATATGCATATAAACATGCAAAGAGTAGAAGTACCATTTAATGTGAATCTCTCTCTTTGGACGTTGCAACTTGCATGTGAAATGAAGACACAGCAAGCTATAGCCTATAGCGAGAGCTTCTGAACCATCACAGTTTGTTCTTTTTGTTATCGACTGAGATTGATCATTGATTCATGAATTAATGTGTTATATAAATCCATCTTACAATTGGGATTTATTTATTGTTTTTTCTTCGCTTTATTTAATTGTATGACCAAACTTCGGCCTTTTGGAAGCAAAGACAGTGGCGAAGTGGAGCATATCTTATTGATTAAATATTTATTAGTTTCAACATCTGAAGTACTTTAAGCATCATTTTCTTCTAGAGGGCTGTTTGTCTCCTTCCATGTATATATATATATATATATATATGCTACTTAATCAGATACCTTCTTTAATTAATTAATTAATTAATTAAGATGCTTCACTTTTGGTTGAAATGACAAATACTTTATCCATCATGCACTCCCACCTTGCCACCTTAACTTCCTCTTCTAATTAACTAATAAACTGAGAAAGGGAAATGTTTAAATTAGTAAAAATAATGGATGCTGTTTGCAAATGAACCACTCCCTTGTTCCCCAAAATTCCTTTGTATCCCTTCCTCCAATGAATGCTTTTCCAAGAGATTAAAGGGGGCTGTCTTTTGATTTTGCACCATTTATTGCCCTAATTTATGCCCTCTGTCCCCTCAACAACACCATCAAAGTTCTCAAAATAGACCATTTCATGCTCTACCCTTGCCTCCTCTACCACCATACATCCATCCCTAAACCCACCTGCTAGCTAGGGATCTCTCCTGTCCTCTCTCTCGTCTTTAATTAATAATTAGGACCACTTAATTAATCTCTTAATAACAATATATGATCTCCTCTAGCTAGCTAGCCTTGTTTTATATATATACACATGTATGTACAAATATGTATAGCTAGATTTTCTCTTATGCGGACGTTCAGACGTTATAATCGTGCGAGTGCCATGTATTTTATATCACACCTTCCTGCTTTTCTCCATGTTTATAATGACGTTCACACGGTAATAATATCAGGTTATCTGCATAGGAGAATAATTGTATATATAGTTTCTTCCTATATGTTATAAACAATGGGAAATTAAATGTAATCGACCTTCCACTTAATTAATATGGTACCAAAATTATTGTTTGTCAATATACAAGCTCTATATGTATATGTGGCTAGCTAGGTTCTAAGTCTAGTTTGGTGTTTGGTTGCTTGCTGACATGAGTGATAAGATGGTTACAAGGCATGGCGATATGGCAAAGGCTTACTTACCTTAGGTTGGGCTTGCGTGTTGAGAGTCATATATGAGTGAGGGATCAGGGCAGGGCTAGCTAGGGTTGGTGCAACATGGCATTGACAGATAGATATATAGACATCCATCCATCATTTCGTTTCCATCTGATTCAGACGTAACCTTTTGGCCAATGTAGTGTTGTGTTTGTTCGGACGAAACCCAACCTTTTTTTGGTCATTTCTCCTCTTCTCTTGATATATTTGGCACTGAATTGAATTGATGCCTCTCTCTCTCTCTCTCTCTCTCTCTCTCTCTCTCTACATGCCGATTAATAATGACAATGGCAGACGGAGATGATCCATTAATTAACTCCTAATTTGGACCATCAAAAAATCATATAATAATAAAACATAATTTATCTCTTTTTTTGGCTGGGATTTTAGTGAAATTGCCACTTAATTTTGTTTGTTAATTAACAGAGAAAATTAAGTACGACCAGTTTTCATGTTTAATTTATAGCTAAAATACAATATATATATATAATTATTTAAACAACCGCACTAGAAAAATAATATTATCTTTTTGGTGGAAGAAAATGTTGTAACTAGTATTTGCCTCGAAGTTGTTGTATATAAACTTGTCATTCTATGCATATGTTTTATTAGCAATTCTATGCATGTGTCCGTTAAGTGATTCGGAGAGAGAAAGATGAGCTACCGGAAATGAGGATAAAATTGACCTCGGTTCTTACTCGTCTTTTTCATATTCCATCACTTTTTTTGTTTGTTTTGTTTTTGCTTTTCAATTTCCGAGGAATAATATTGACCTACTTTATCTCACATTAACTTGATGGAAAAGAAAAAAAAAGTCAAATCGTCCCCAACCTCTGTGTCCACTGAACATATAGTTGCTTCCAGGGTATGGCTATGGGTTACTGTCTGAGTCTCTGAGACACTAAAACTTTTACTTATATCTCAGAGAATATGTAAACTCCTGAGATTTTTTTACCTTATCCTTATCTGTCGGCCAAAACAAGTTTGCACAGCCCTATGTTTTTTTTTTAATCAATTGGTTTTTGTTTTCTTCTTCTTTTATATTGGGTAATGGGTACCAGGGTAGGGAATGGGGATTCTAGGGAGGGAATTAATATTTTGTATTTTGTTGCTTTTTAATGAAAAGATAAATGATAATAGTGATGGATCGATATTGATGTAGTGGCTATAGCTATAGGTCATCAAGTAGGGATTAGTAATAAGACCAACAAAATATGTCAGGCCTTCTTTTTTCACAGTAAATGATGAGTAATCTCTGTTTGCAGGCATTAGAAATATACGAAATTGACCTACTTGTTCAGTATATAGTCTGATTTTGATTGTGACGCTAAAACCTTTCTCTTTCTTCCATCCCAAAAGAAAAAAAAAAAAAAAAACTTGGGAAGCTCAGCTGTGTAAGATATTCATGTAAGTCATAAAAAACTAATATATATATATAGAGAGAGAGAGAGAGAGAAGAATGGTGTTTGATTCTTCTCCCAGAGAGAGAGAGAGAGAGAGAGGATCAGCTGGAGAGGGACAGACAGATTCGACAGAATCGTGAGAAATATCATATAATAATATTACTACAACCAACCAGAGCTATTAAATTATTTTAAAGGGTAGAGAGGTAGAGTGCATATAATTAATGGTGGGGGATGAAGATGGGGATGGCGTAGGTGGGGTTAATTCTATAGAGGATATGCCAAAGTGTAGGGTTGGGATATTGTGGCCGTGCACAACAAGTTAAAGCAAAGAGAAGAGAGCAGCAGCAGCAGAGACATTGCTTTGCGCTTTGCTTTGAGTGCATGTTTCTCTGTGTGTGTGGTTGGTTTTCTCCTTCTCTTTCTTTATTTATTATGTTATATACACATATATATATATATTTATTTGTATATATTTTGGTACTGCATTATCCAGCACAAAATGATTGATTTAGAGTGAGAGAGACCACTCTGGCCTTAGCTTTGGTTTCAGCACACACGCAAGGGATTGGATCATGGATGGATGGATGGATGGGTGTGAATATCAAATCATCTCTCATTTAGGACATGGGTGTGCAGGTTCAGTCTATCTATATGCATAGCCTTGTAGGTGAAGAATAATTACAAGCATTTTCTAGCCCTCCCTCCGTCACGAGTCATCACAAAGTATACAATTATGGGTGTATTATTTTATGATTACAAGATCGAAAAAGTTACCTTAGCATTTTGGGATTTACAAATTTTCTACAATCATTAGTTCCCACATCTTATTATGATGCTAAAGGAATCTTTGGGAACTCGTGGACAAAATAACCCTTTCAATCCTTGATTGCTCTGTCGTTCATTTAGGAAGAACTTTCATACAATGGGTATGCCACAATAGCAGTATTTCAAGCTAATCACGCACTACTATGTGCAAAAGTTAAAACAAATTTAGGAAGAACTTCCACGAACAGTGTCATCCCCGGTGTAAGTAAGTTTCTCTTCTCATTTAGATACAAAGATTCACCTATTTTTTATGTTCTTTTAAAGTAATGGGTAATCTCAACTTTTATACCTGAAATTTCTTCTAAGAATTGACAAATAATCTGTTTTAAGTTCATCAGCTATAACATCATAGCCTAAATAACTACAGCAGCTATAAACAAGGCCCACCCCCATTATGCCCTTTCTCATTGTAAACTATAACTATGCTTTGCTGTGTCATACATAAGAAACGTTACACATTGACGTATTATTTTTTGAAGTACTTGAACTTATTTCATTTGGATGAGTTCTTATTGCCCCACTTACTCTTCCGACTCTCGGATAATTTTACCAAAACCGGCACAGGATGAACCATAAGTGTGAACCCGTGTTCTTCATTAGGAGCCTCTGCATATTTCGGTTCTCAATTCAGTGATGGACCCAGCTATTCTCATCCACCAATTCAAAAGAACTATAAACATTATAAAGGAAACTCCTTCTGCAGAACATCTAGATTCCGAGAATCGCAGGCTTCCAACATGTCATTCCTAGAAGCACAGCTGCAACGAAGGCAAGAAAACAAGATATTTAAAAGGAACATTGCGAAGAGCGACTTCAATAATTTTTTTTTTCTTTTTGAACTTTTATATTAAAATACCTCAAAGAAATTCTCAAATATTGCCAACCGTTATCTGCCTTCGGATTCATGGTAAGTGCTCGGACATAGTAACGAATGGAATCCTCATACATACCCTAGATGCATTCACAATAGGGAAGAAAGTTAATTGGTTAGACAAATGCTGTAAATCCCAAGATATTTGGGAAACTTTGATCACTTATAGCAGAAATTAAATAACAAGCCATAAATAGTTGAAATTAATACCCACATGAACAGTAAGAATTATGCACTTGTAGCTCTACTAAATGCAATTACCTCGAAGAAAA